ATAAATCTTTCCCTGCTTTCTGTGATGCCAGTTTTCATTCCTGAAAAGAGCTCTGCAAAAATCTGTAAAATTACATAGCAGTCTTTCTTTAAATCTGTTTTATAGTAATGTCTGTACAACAGCTTGATAGGAGAATTCTAGCCTCTATTATTGTGCTAATATTATCCACATTATTTCTGTTTATTTCCCTCATTTCCAGCATTGCCAGCTGTCCTAAACTTGTATAGCAAGAGCTGTTTGGTTCACCTCTAAGCTTACGCAGCATCTAACCAAACTTCTAATCCATGGCTTCAATTTAAGACTTATTATAAATCAATGATATCTAATAATTGTGTTTCATAATGTTTTATTGAAGGTGGTGGGATTGTAATCCTCTTCAAACAGGAGCATACACAAACTAGTTATACAGTGAATATACAAGGAATTATTCGTTGAGCAGAACTGAACACAAGATTCTAAATTTCTCACCAGTTTTCAGCTCAAAAAGCCACAAACCCCACAGACTTTTCTACTTATGGTCACCTAGTATTTTGCCTGTCCTTAGTCAGAGACAAGTCAACAATGGACTTTGGAAGGTTTCATGACAAAATAACAAATAAGAAAAAACTATAATGCTAAAGATAAATGTGGGAAGGAGGTAGTGAAAACTGTGCAGATAAGTATGTTTATGTCTCCTGCTAACACTTCTTACACTGTAGTTTGCAACAAAAGATCCAGTTTATCCTATAGAAGATGAAAAATAACCTTCAAAACCCAAACCAGAAAAAAAGCGCCCAACTTGGAAAAAAAAAGATTTGTTGTCTGTTGCAGTCAGAGTCCTAAGAATCCCTAAATTTCTTCATGAAATTTTTGTTTACTCTAAAAGAGTCAAACAATTAAAGACAGATATTTACATAAGCCCTCAGGAGGATATTTTAAGATTTTCTAGCTTGACTAAGTCTACCGAGACAGACATTTTTAGGGCACATATAAATGTGTTTGGTGAGAATGTCAAAACAGTGAAATTTTAAGGTACTTTCCAAATCTGACTTTTACATACATGAAAATGTAGCCCTGTTTCCCAAGAAACAGATTGTAACAGTAGCCTAAAAGAGAAAAACATCCCTGCCCTTCTCACAGGGCTGGACTATTAAAAGCTGAACAAGGCAGTTTTGTCTAGATGAAACCATTAACCATTTTAACACTGAACAGAAAAGCAGAAAAAAACAAAGGTTATAGGGCTTTGGGATGATACTTGAAATATCAAAAATATTGCCTCAACTTTTTCACATTCCATTCAAATATAGAAACCTAAGTTTCTGTATTACCACACCTTTTACAAATAAAGGTTGTACTCTTTCTGGAAGAGCTTATTTAACAAACTCAACAGATATTATACATAAATTTAGGCCACATTTCAAACTTTTAAGTTCTGGTCATTTAAGAAGTGTTTCTGGTCATGTAGAAGATACATATTTGGCACTAATGTTTTCAGGAGTTGGATGATGAGACAAACTCAGACTTTGGCAAGAGTTTTGGCCCTTCATCCTGCCCAGTTGATCTGTGGAAAGATTTTAATGTTCTAACTTCTAATCATTATCTCAGCCAAATGGCATGATAGTTGCCAAGAATAAGTAAAGTCTAAGAAAAGTAAAACTTTGGAAAAAAAAGAAAGGACTTGAAAGTTTGGGCTATTATAAAACTTACAAGGCTGTTTATTTGGAAGCATATTAAGTTGCTAGGTGACATAATGGAGCACAAGTCCTTGAACTGCCAGCCCCAGTATATATTATGACCCATATTATTTTTCTAATTGGAAGAAAACTATAATGGTAAAGGCAGACAATTAGTTGTGACGCTGTAACTATTCCTTCAAAATGCAATGGCTGACCTTTTCAAAACATGTAACTGCCAGATCCTGTAACTCATACAGTCACCTAATTGTTTCAAGCCAATAGGGTGCTTGTGTTCTGTGGTGCACTTTCTCTAATACTGGAGCTGAAGGAAGCTGACACATCTCTGAGGTTTAGCATAGATGCAAATGCTGAAAATTCTTCAAGTACAAGGTGATTTCCCAGGGAAGAGAGAAAGAAGATTTCAAACACAATAAATTTAAAGCAAACAAAAACTTTTCAGGCCTCCATCATAAGATGCAACCTCTAGATCAGTCCATTATCTGGAACAGTCAAGTGTCACCTTCAGGTTCCATTTTCCAAGACTTTCTTCAAAGTTCTAACACATACAAATTCTGAAAACAGTTCTTTTCGTTTGGTAATAACAAAAAGATGTCCTACAATTCCTGCATCTTTTTAATCAGCTCTTTACCACTAGTAATAATCCTCTTTTCCAAGTCTTACGAAAATTTTAATAGCCAAATTACTTCTTAAGCTAGGCCTCAAGAGAAGACTTCTGTTAATCAGCAATTCTGTAACTGTGGATTAAATTTAGTGGCCTTTGTTCATCATGTTCCTCTTGTGTCTTTTTATCTCTTATTTTCTCTTAGAGGTTGGAAATCTGCTGTTTGACAGAATCACAGAATCAACTATGTTGGAAAAGACATCTAAGATCATCTAGTCCAACCTAAGACCTAACGCTACGTTGTCAACTAAACCATGGAACTAAATGCCATGTCCAGTCTTTTCTGAAACATCTCCAGGGACGGTTACTCCACCACCTCCCTGGGCAATCCATTACAATGCCCAAACACCCTTTCTGTGAAGAACTTGTTCCTAATGTCCAACCTAGAGACTGAGTCCTCTTGTCCTGCCACTAGTTGCCCGGGAGAAGAGGCTGACATCCACCCGGCTACAGACTCCTTCCAGGCAGTTGTAGAGAGTGATAAGATCACCCATGAGACTCCTCTTCTCCAGGCTAAACCATTACAACTCCCTCAGCCCCTCCTCACAGGACTTGTGCTCCAGACCTTTCACCAGCCTCGTTGCCCTTCTTTGGACACGCTCCAACACTTTTCTTCTCTTTTTTTCTTTCCTTTCTTTTGTCTTCATTTTAGCAAGCACTGGACAGAGTCTGTAGACTCATCACAGTGGGGACTCCAATCAAATCCCTGTTCATATGAAAATTAAGTTATAACATGAAATAGTAAATGGAATAGTGAAGAGATTGACTCTCTTGGCTAATTACAGTTTTGTCCTATTTTGGGGTTTTGTTACTATTTTGTTACTTGTGTTATTTTTACTGCTTCAAACAAAGCAGCTTAATTAGTCCTTCAATTAGCTTCTAAGTGTGCCTAATAGTTTCTGTCCTTATACATACCTGTACATACTTCTTTGATCATTTATATAACTTTTCTGGGAAAAGAACCCCAGTTTAGAGAAAATTTCCCTGGGACTAATGCCTATAAAAATGTAGCAGTCATATTAATACCTGCATTTCTTAATAATAAAATAATAGGAGATAGTAAGTATTATTATAAGATACTAGGAGACAGTATTATTATAAGATATTAGGAGACTTGATTCCAGAAGCAGTACAGTCTCATTTACTAACTCCATACTCCAGCTACTGAAAACCAGTAGACACAAAATGGCTTTCCTCACAATTAACTGCAGAGTTACAATGTCTACTGCCCACTTAATTCAGAATCCAGCTAAGCTGCTAAACAGCACAGTTAACTATTAAAATTGTAGTTTTCAAACAATACTGTACTCTCCTGCATCTGTTTTATTACAAAACCAGAAAAACCGAACAAAATAACCCAGTTCCCAGGCTTTCAATCAAACAGTCCAATTCTTTCAGAATTCTGAGACTGAAATTATTTTTGTTTCCCTCTCAAATCCCGATCTTCCAGTCTAAATTCATTGAACACTGTGATTTCTGCTTCCCTCTTGACTGCAATTTTTTCCCTCTCATATTTCTCTCTTTTGGTCATTTCTGCCTCTAACAACATCTTCAAGATCCTCATCCCTACACTGATAAGAGGCAAACTTTTCTGTAGTTTTGGAGCAATGTTGAGAAGATACTATTTCTTCCATTATCCTATTCCAATGTCCTGGGGTTTTTTTTCACTCTTTATTTAATCACCAAGTAATATTTTCCATTTGTTTTCATTTTTACCCTTTTGACTTTTGCACTTGACTTTGGATGGTGATTAGTCCTTTTCCAGTTTATTCCCTGAAGGCTCACTACTTATGCCTCATATGCTTTCTGAGACAATTACTTATTCTGCTGGGAGAGAAAAACCTTTTCCCTACTGTTTTTCTTATTTGGAATACAAGTTCAACATACTTTTACCATATCTGAGTAGAAGAATTTTCTATCCTCCTGCGTAATCATTTCCCTGATTTTCCACTTCATTTAAATTAGTTTACTTGTAATCACTTGAAATCTGATCTCTACCACTATGTCTCACCAAAACGAAGGCCAAAATAGTATCATGTTGTTTGACTCTTCAATAACCACTTCACAGAGTAATGGGGTCCTGTTGTTACCACTCCCTAAGTTTAGCTCTTGTAACAAGACGACACCCTCTATTTCCCAGTAGCAGTTTTCCCCCAATCCTCCTTATATTACAATTAAGGACTTGGTGCCTTCACTGCCTGCAATCTAGGTATTTTGCTTCAATTTCCCCTTATGGTGCTTCAACCTCGTAACAACAGATTTCCCTTGAGCCTTACACGCATGAGCTGGGCGCAAGCAGAGCCATGCGGGCACACAGGTAAGGCGCAACAGGTCAGGTGGGGGATTCCTGGCGTGCCCACGGAGCGCTCCACACGCCACACCAACCCCGCACCTCTGGGATGGGCAGTGTGAGCAAGCTGGCGGGGAATTGCCATGAAGGGCCAGGCAGGCAGTCACCCCTCGCAGGTTAGAGCCCCACTGCCCCCTCCTCCAAGCCCTTCCGAGGGCACCCGAGGGCGTGCGGTGGCTCGGGGCCGCTCCCCCATCGCTGCCGGCCGCGGAGCGTGCGGGGTTACCGTGCTCGGCCCCCGTGCCGGGTTACAGTGCCGGGTCACAGTGCCGGGTCACGGTGCTCGCCCTGCCGCGCCGCCGTTGCCAGGGGCTCGGCGGGCAGCGATGGTGAAGGAAACCATCCGGGTGTACGCGCGGGTGAAGCCGCTGGGCAGGCGGCAGCAGGCGGGGGTAGGCCGGGGAGCTGTGCCGCTGTGCTGCCGGGGGTGGAGCGGGGCTGCCGGGAGACCCGAGGGGAGTCCCAGGGGACCGCGTCTCCCTTTCCCTGCAAGAAGCTCGGCCGGCTGGTGAGGGCGGAGCGGTGGGTACGGGAGCGAGGCGAGTCACAGCCTCGCCCTGCGCTCTGAAGCCTTAAGTTCATAAAACCACCAAGTAGAGCTTGGGTTGTAACTGTTGGGGGAAGGGGCGAGGAACTTCTTTCCAGCCTAGTTTGTTAGAGGAAGGCTCCGCAGGAAAACACTTGACACCGGTCACCGGGTTTACGCAGTTCAGCCCTGTTCTGTGCATGGGAGGGGAACGTGCAGCTCCCAGGCTGTAGCTGTACTTGCAAGGGATAATAAAGATAATGAAAGTGTTCCTCAGAAACCGTGCATTTAGGTCTCTTAATTGTCTTCTGGTTTTAAACCAGCTCAACTCATTTTGTCGTAGCCTTTCCTAATGTATTCTTCCAGGGTTTTTTGGAGAGGTTTGCGCTTGGGGCTGTGCTTTGTTTTTCACTACACCACAGATCTTGAAGTGGTTTAGTAACCAAGTATGCCAAAGAGGCTACACTATTGTTTCAAGTATTGTTGTAATGTTTTCATGGAGACAGGATAAGTTTGGGGTGTGCTGGTTTTGTTGTATAATAACCAAAGGAGGATCTGGTCAAATGTTTAGTGAAATTTATACAAAGTTTTTCTTAAGGCAATTACAGGTGCTAAGGTTGCATAACTGTTATGTCTAAGGGCCGTGCTGTTCAACTGGTGAAATTATGCTGTGAATTCATATCCATGCTTATTAGAGCTATTCAGTGGATGATGAGGAGGATTCTCTCTCCAGTCTGGAGATTACTGTGCCACGTGACTTAGCAGATGGGTTCGTCAATAATAAACGAGAGACCTACAAATTCAAGTGAGTAAAAGCATTATCTTTGCATCTGCTTCCTTTAGTGATTGATAACTCTGTGTGTAGTGATACACATGTACAGAATAAGGAAAAGTCTAATCTTAAGTTTTGGTATAGATCGGTTTATTTTTATACAGCTCCCTTAACAAGAGGAGTACTTCAGCATATGCTTTTCACCATGAGTTTGATAGCATTGGGTGAAGTTGTGGTACTATTGTCTATGCATTGCAAGTCATTATGCTTTTCTAAGTCTCATCTCAAAGGTTGCATTTTCATTTATCAATTCTTCCATTTTTACTGATTGAATTTGTTTATGAAGAGTGAATGCAGGATTGTGTGTTCTCTTGTGATCTAATGAGTTGTTGTAGGCTGGCTAAAAGTTGTCTTGATGTAAAATGCTCTGTTTACAAACTGTGTTTCAGACATTATCAAAACAAGGTAAAGAAAACAGAAATAGTTGAAAGAAACAAACTTTGTTTGTAGAATGTAAATGTTTATTAGGAACTTAAAATCATTGCCAGCGATATGAATCAAATGTTTCCATCACTTCAGCAGAAACCTTTGAGGCAACATTTTATAATTTTGATGATAAATAAAGCTAGATATATAATCACCTTTAATAATGAGGTCAAGTGGAATATTCTTTATTTTTTTGTAATAATGAGTCAGTTTGTTGCTCTATACTATTAAAAAAGAGAGCTCTAGATAAACATCTGCAGTTCAGACTGATGTCATTTTACATCAGCTAAGGAAATTTGCTTGGGAAGAGAGGAGCTGCCCTCTCCAAATAGATTAATATGCAACATTAGGTTAGGTTGCAGATGCCCAAGCCTGACTTAATGAATGCTGATATTTTTTTCCGACTTTATAATTTATTAATAAGTCTGTAGAGATGAATTTTGAGAATACATCTGTGTCTTATTACCCGTAAGACAATGCAAAAATAATTCTATGGAGTAAGCTTTTATTTTTCCTCCATAAAACTCACACTTTCATGCAGTTTATCTATCCTGGTCACATCAAACATTATTCTCTTTTGTTCTTACTCTCTTGTATGGGAACCAAACACAATTGTTTGAGTTACTTGGCTGATTAAGCATTGGAAGGATAGAGTGCATGCATTTATGTTTTGTGTACTGCATTTGTCTGAGATACTGTACACATTGCATGGGTCATCACGGTGCCTTTCTGCATATCCAGTGTCTGCAATGCCTTTCTACATACCCTGGGAAGTTCTGTGTGAGTGTCTATTTCCAAACAGGGGGAAAAACACAGCTGGACAACAGCAGTCTGGAGGTTTCTGGAGTATATGGGTCACAACTTCCTAAAATACGATTAAAAATATGATGAGGGGGAAAACTCTGCTACACCACGTATTTGCAAAAATGGAAGAACTGATGAGAGATATTAAACCTGGGGGTAGCCTAGGTTGCAGTGGCCATGAGATAGTGAAATTCAGGATACTGAGAGAAGGGAGAAGGCAAAAAGTAGGATCACAACCCTGGATATCATGAATGCAGAATTTGGCCTGTTCATGGACGTGATCGAAAGAATTCCGTGAGACACAGCCCTGGGGAGAAGTCTGGAAGAACTGGCTGATTTTCAAGGATCACCTCCTCCAAGCTCAGGAACAATCCATCCAGATGAACAGCAAATGATGCAGAGGCAGCAGGAGGTCTGACTGGATGAGGAAGCAGCTCATGACTAAATTGCAATATTAAAAGGAAGTATGGAAGAGGTGGAAGCAGTGTCAGGTGATGCAGGAAGGCTGTGTGAGGAGTTGGATCAGGAAAGCCTAGATAAGCACAGAGTGAGGAGTGTTGAAAACAAACTGAGCTGCTGGGCTGAGGGTTGCATCAGGGGCTCAGAGGGCTGTCATCCAGGCCAGCTGGAGGCCAGTCACTGGTGTAGCCGTTTAGCATTAAGGATCTGGGTGATGGGACCAAGTGTAGCTTCAGCAAGTTCACAGACAATATGAAACTGGAAGGGATGGTTGATGCACCAGATGGTTGTGTTGCCATCCCTGCTGACCTCAAGAGACTGGAGAAATGAGTCCATAGGAATCTCATGAAACTCAACAAAGTGAAATGTCAAGTCCTGCTCCTCGTGAGGAATAACCAGGACAGGCTCAAGGCTGACTGAAAGCAGGCTTGCAGACCTGGAATCCTGATAGACAAAACATTGAACATAGGTCAGCATACACCATTTGCAGCAAAGACCAACAGCCTCTGGGCTGCATTAAGAAGAGCACTGCCACCAGGTCAGGGAAGTTGATCCTTCCCCTTATCAAGAATGGTGAGATCACATCTGGAATTCTGTGTCCAGTTCTGGGCTCCAGCAAAGGGACGCAAATATGATTAAGGGACTAGAGAGTCTGACATGTGAGGAGAGGCTAAGAGACCTGGGACTCTTTACTCCAGAGAAGGCTCAAGGTGATCTTGTCAATATCTATAAACGCATGATGGGGAGAGGGGGAATAAACAAGATGGAACCAGATGCTTCTCAGTGGTGCTCATGGACAGGACAAGAGTTTATGGGCACAAATTGAAATACAGGAAATACCACAGAATCATAGAATGACTCGGATTGGAAGGGACCTTAAATATCATCTAGTTTCAACACCCCCTGGCATGGGCAGGAAGCCTTCCAGTAGCTCAGAGCTACCATGCAACCTGGCCTTGAACACTCCTGGGTGTGGAGCACCCACAACTTCTCTGGGCAACCTGTTCCAGTGCCTCAACACCCTCACAGTAAAAAAAATTTCTTCCTAATATCTAATCTAAACCTATTCTCAGTTTGAAGCCATTCCCTCTTGTCCTGTCACTACATGCCCTTGTAAAAAGTTTCTCTCCATCTTCCTTATATGCTCCCTTTTAATACTGGAAGGCCACAATTGGGTTACCCCGAAGCCTTCTCTTCTCCAGGCTGAACAATCCCAATTCTCTTAACCTTTCTTCATAGGAGAGGTGCTCCATCCCTCCAGTCATCTTGGTGGCCCTGTTCTGGACTAATTCCAAAAGATTGATGTCCTTTCTGTGCTGGGGACCCCACTGTGAGGTGATCAAATATTGGAACAGGCTGCCCAGAAAGGCTGTGGAGCTTCCCTATGTGGAGGTACTCAAAGCCTGACTGGACAGACCCCTGTTCTATCTGACTCTCCTTTGAGCAGGGGGATTGGAGCAGATGGTCCCTTCCAACCTCAAGAATTTCGATTCTGTAAGACAACTTCAGATATTTTATATAAAAAAGTGACAAAACATTGAATTAGATATCTCCTTGTGACCTATAGTAATAGTGAAGCAGAGTGAAGGAAATAGCTAGGAAAAAATGTGAGCCTGGCTGTACTGGTGGGATGCTGTATTTGGTTATAGTGTAATCTATTTATCCAGGATTCAGTGTGGTGCCAGTTACAAACACTGATTCTCTTGATAGATTTAAAATACGGTTTAGTTTTTTCTAAGCCACATCATTTTCTCAGAGGATTTTATTGTACAGATCTTGTCAAAGCAGCTCTGTGTACAGCCTATTTATGTACAATAGCACAACAGCAAGCTGTGGTTAAGACTACAGGGAAAACATTGTACTACGTTATGTAAGCCTAATGATGTAAACATTGACTATTACAAACACAAACAAAAATGTATGAATCGAGTAGTGTTTTAGCATTCTAAGAAATTTTTATTTGCTTAATATTTTCAGATTTCAGAAAATTTTTGATCAAGAGGCAAAACAAGATGTGGTTTTTGACAGCATTGCCAAACCAGTAGCAGAATGGTACGTTTTGATCTTGCAAGTAATCAGGGTGAAGCTACTTTTGCTTTTGTTGTATTACTCAGGGGAGAGCTGGCAAGTCTTTGTTGTATGGATTGATATTTTAATTTCCTAAATACTAACATATCTGAGTCTAGGAGATATACAACCCCCTGAGAATTTTATGTATACAAAGGTTCTATTTTTGACTCCTCAAATAGCACTGCTACTCTTACCTCTTACGTTGTATAGCCATAGAAATCCGTGTCTGATTCTTTTTTGTGTGTATTATATGCTCATTTCATTGCCTTAGAAAAGTGTTCCTTATATAGTTTCATGAAGAGGTAAAACCTAATGAAAATCTTATCCCCTTGTTTAGTTTTCATTCAGTTAGGAATGCTTGTTAATACCTGTGGAGATATTCCTAATTTTTGCCCTTATTACTTTTGTCTTAACGTGTAAGGCAGTGCTTTTGGTACTGTTTTTGTTTTTCACCTCCGTTTAATAAGCAAGCACTACTCATATTGGACAGTTTGCAAAGACAGGCATTTAAGACTGATGAAACTCTCTGCACTCATTGTGTGGATTGAGTGCCACTCTGAAACAGGTGGATTTCTCAATATGCCATTCTCTCTGCTCAGTTTATTTTCTGAATTGCTGAAGTTTGTACTGGTGTTAGTGGGAGAGAAAATACCATGCTGCAGGAAGCAGAACTTCTGCACAATGTTTGCTTATCAAACTTACTGCTCAGAATCCAAACTTGTTGTGAGTTGGAAAGTATTACTTTAGATGCCGGCTTCCTTCTCATTCATTATCTGGAGTTTGTCTAAGCTATGATTCTGCAAGTTATTCCACCATCTATTGCACTGTCCTGTGTTTAGCACTGTAGCAAAACAGACATCCTCAGCTGGACAGTAAGCCTTTCTCAAGTTGTTACTTGGAAGAAAAATATATCTATCTCTTTAAAATGTAATTTTATTCTTTTTTTCCCCTATTTTCTTCTTTGAAGTCCAACATAAAGCAGAAGGGTAATTGACAGTGAAAATGAAGAGCCAGTGAATTTCAAACTTCATTAGAATAAGTTAAAATAGACTTAAAAATAATATTTGTTATAATATTTTCTCACTCAAAAGAGATTTATTTGCTTATCTGACATCATGACATATAGCTTCAGATTAGCTCATACGCTTAACTATAAGTATTTCTGGGTTCAATGGGGACTGCAGGGAAAAAAAATATCTTATTTGAGTTTGTTTGGAAAGAGAAGAGTTAAAAATCTCATTGTTACATACTATGGATTTAATTATCCTCTGCAAAAGCTCAGAGTATCAAAATTAACTAGCAACAGACTGGCTAATTTTTTTCCCTTTGGAGTGTTTTGCTAGAATATGGAAAGGTTTTCCAGTTGAATAATTCATCTATACAGTGCTCTAGTAAACAGGAAGTGGTATTCTTTTCCTTTATTTCAGTACTGGCTGATATAAGACTGTTATATATTAATTTTCTACATTATGTAGACTTTAGTTTTGGGGTTTAGATATTTTTAAGTACTTAAAAGTATTTAAATGCTATTAAAATCAGTGTCGTTTAGGCATACAGTTATCTTCAAATAGCCAAGTCTTTATCTTTAATGCTAAAATTGATTTATAAATGAATTCTTAATGAAATCAAGATTTTGTCTCTGAGTGTTATAATGTGCTAAAGCTTGTATTCTTATTGATGTTTGTGTTGTTACTGATAATGCTGAAGGATAATTTTACTTGTGTTTTTATAATAGAGTGGGCAATAACTGAAGTACGTTCATGTTTCTCATCCACTTCCTTAGTTTTTTACCTTTTTTTTAGGGAAGAATATGTATTTCTAAATATATTTATATTTATGAGGTTCCTTGGTTAATGGAGTCCTGAACTGGACCTGAAAGTTACTTCACTCTATAGTTAGTGACTTGATCTTCCTGTCCATTGTGGGACAATAAGAATTACCCTATTTCTCTGAGATACCACAGATTTTCATGGCAAAATGTTCGTCATTATTTGTTTCAAAGTCAACATTCTCTTGCATGAAGAAGCTGTTGAAAATACACACATTTCTGGTCCTGGAGTCCCTTTACTGAGGGAACAGTTTTTGTGTGTGTATTGCCAGGGAAAAGGAAGTAGTGGGAAAGTATCAATGAAATAGTTCAGCAACATTTTAAGGCTCTTTGCCATGCATACTTACAGTCCTGAGAAAATTCAGTTACAGTCTTGAATGCTTGGAAAAAAAATTCTTGGGCATTGTTTAAACTAAAACCAGCAATGCAATGCTCAGGATTCTGAAATCTTTCTAGTTTGTTCTTGGAGGGATGGAACTTGGATACAACTTCCTTGTCTTCCCCTCATCCCCTTTTTAAATGTGTTTTCTTTGATGTTGGGCCACTACTTTTCCTTCTTTAAATCCGGTTACATTGTCATCTTGCCTGTGGTTTCAGAGGCACCAGACATTAGTTTGTTTAATTTGCTTCTTCAGTCAAAAGTGCCTGCCTCTGCAAACCATTATAAGCATGTGATTTGCTTGAACTTTTTTATTACTTTTTTTGAATCCTTGAGTCATCTCTTGCATGGGTTCTTTTCATCATTTGGATGTGCTTTCCCCTTTTCCTTTTTATTTTAAATATATATTCTTGATATTTTTTTCGGGCAGAGTCAACTTGATGTTTAAGAAGCAGCACTAATTCTGTTATTTTGTCAGAAATAGAGAAGATAAATAAAATCCTACTTTTACAGTCTGCTGTAATGATTAGCATTGTGTTAGCCTGACAACAGAAAAAGGCCACTCTTAAGATGTTTCAAATACTAGTTTTATGATTATTAGTGCATTCAGAAATTAATTAAAAATATTAACTGCTTTGCATTAGTTTTCGGTTCTAATATGGCCAATATTTTGGTATTAAATGTCTTGATTTATTAAAGAATAACATTTGAAAATACATTCTCTTCAGATATCTCATGCAAATGAGAAATACCTCAGCTGTTTATAAACCTAATGACCATCACCTGTGTTCTTCTGAAAGATCTGAGAGCCTCCAGGATAATGCTCCCATTGCCTCACGTTCTGGTTTCTTCCAGTTTGTACCTGGATATATTTGTCACACAGTATTGGAACTAGTGGTTTGGCTCATCTGCATCTCAAAAGATCTGTAGAATCTATGTATAATAAAAGGACACATTTTTTTGGATGTCAGCTAGAAACAAAATTGGCTTCAAAATTTCCCCTAAATTGAGAAATTGGATAGTAATGACAGCAATTCTTTCTGAAAGTGAGTACAATTATGAGGCAATAAAAACTGAAAAGTGTCATTGATGTTTCATTTAAAATTACTACTGGTTGCTTGTGTTTGCTTTGACTTAAATTGTGCAGCTTAGAATTGTTCGAGAAGGCTGTTTATTATAAGTTACAGTTTGACAGCTTTGATTCAGAGTGTCTTTGTGCCACTTGCCTGTTTATGGTGATTGTGGTGGAATTCTAAATATATGTAGAGATCTTAGTTAAAATAGGAAATTATATTACTTTTCTTTTTCCTTTGGAAAACCCTTTAGAAATTTCTAAGGAAACTTGCCTGCACTAAGGTCTCAGAAACAGTAACGTTTGCTTTGTTTTTTAAAGATGAGGCATTACCAATTTAGATTGATTCCACAAATCTGGCAAAGACATAAAGAAAAAATGTCATACTGAGATACTTTGTTTATTTTAATTAAAAGAAACTTTAGTCTAAGCTCCGAGTGATAGAAGATACCTAAAACCTGAGTCTCTGAAGACAAATTCTCCATGAAAACTTGTTTTCCAGATCCTACCAATTAACTCCTTCCTTCTTTTTACCTTCACTATTTCTGGGGTCTGGTTTTGCAAGGACTGTGTTGATTTTTATATATATATATATATATATATACATAAAACATATATATATATAAAAGAATGAAAGTGAGGGACAGTGGTAGAATATTTCAGGTCTGCAAGAACTGAGATGAGGAGAGGGCTACCAGTGTCCCAAGATCAAACTACTGGTATTTTCTGCTTTTTTCATCATTCTAGTATTTTAATAGTTATTGAATATTTTTTCAATCACATACCTTTTTGTTACTACTCATTTAAAATGAAGATGGCAGAAATCAAATTGAAATAATAATATGAAGCTGAAATAAACTAAGAAAATGAAAGTAATCACATTTTAAAGTTGTAAGTTGTTTCTGATTCCCAGGATTTTCTCTTACCTATATATAAACAAAGAATTTAGTCCTTATTAAGGCGATTTTGTTGTTTTATATATTCATATTATAAATTTAGTAAAAACTCTCACTTTGAACCTTTTCAACAAATTAGGTGAGAAGGAATCTTTGTAGGTCATCTGGTTCAACCTCCTGAGCAAACAGGTTGTGGTAGATCATGTTTCTTGGGCACTTGTTCAGTAGAGCTCCAAAAATTTCCAAAGATGGAGATCCCCCAATCCATCTAGGCACCTGTTCCAGGGCTTAATTACTCTTACTGTGAAGAATATTTTCATTATACCCATTTGGAATTTCTTCTCACGCAACTTGTGATCACTGCTTGGTATTGGTATTCTTGTGAGTCTCTGGGAAGAGTTTGAGTCCATCTGTGTAACAAGCCACTGCATGAGGTGGTAATTAGGTACATGAATGGCTTTCTCTTCTCTGGGTTGATAGGAAACAGATCCCTTGCCTTCCCCTTGTGTGTGATGTGCTGCAACCTGAACTAAATTGGTTCTATCAGGCTCACTCCAGTTTCTTTAGAACATTTTTCATCTACTGGGGAGCCCAGAACTGGAGACAGAACCCAAAGAGGGACGTTGCTTTTCTTTTTTGCAAATTTTGATGGCAACTATTCTGTTTGATTCCGCAAAACCAGTGCAGCAGCAGATGAAGCAGAGTTCTTCGCTATACTTAGGCAAAAGCCTCCCTAAAGTCTCATTAACAGTGAGCACAGAAGCAAATGAAAAGTTCTGTGTCCATAAACTTTAAATAGAACAAGTG